TCMWASWMMAWYAMMWKTATTGTCTTGTCCTTCTTGAAATTACAGGTTCCTTATTTATCTGCTTACAACATGGCAGCCAACCTGAACAGGAGTCTACACAAGTTGTAAGCTGAAAATTACTAAGAAGAAATTCTATTTTTATCCACCTATCTCATTATGTATTGCCACATGTTCATCATGTGTTCTTTCATTCATTTATTCATTCYTTCTTTCTTTCATTATATTGAACATCTATAATTTTATTTTGTCATTGGTTTTTATTTGTTCATTTTCCATGAACTCCTTCATTTTTCTTCAAAGTCACCAGAGAGGAGCTCACCAATGGCAAGAGTRTCATCTGTCAACTCTCAAGTAAAAGCAATTGAATACTCCATTTATCTTTTACATCATGGTAAGTTGTCTTGTTTGATTAATTAATATTACCAGTCAGCTTGACTGTATAATTAAAATGTATTTTATTTATAACCTTTTATGACTGTATTTTTATATATTGTTATTTTATAATAATTCTGTTATACATTAGACTGTGTTCTTCACTGTATCCTGAACTGTGTTCCCCAACACTTAGCTGATAGCTGTACCTTGTTCTTCTCAAGTCTTTGTAAGTATAAGAAATAGAGGACGTCAACTTTGACAAGCAACTGTCAGACTACTGCACTCTAATGTAACCTATCTAGAGAACATGATCTTTRCTTAGGTGCTTCTGTTTTTGTTCGAAAAGGTTTATTTACTTATTCACATTGTTTGTATGATTGTAATATATTATCAGAGTAAATGTTGTCTTTAAGTCAAAATGTCTTTATGAATGGAGATGGTATCAATGTTATACGATACTTCAAAGTGGCTGATTCTTCTTACTTTAAAGCTCATATTCTTTATCSATGGCAATTACTTTATTTTTAACCAGATAATCATCTATTGGTGTTATTGCCTGGTTATGTCATGCATCTGTTGGATGCGAGTGCTGAACATGAACCCTGCCACCATATCATTCTTCAGGGTAAGTACAATTATTATGCAATGCAAGATGTCTAAGGTAGTTCATCTGTAATCTTCATTATATAGCAATGATTGATACCTTTTATCTTTTGATATGTGGTAGTCTGTGTTACATCCAGATGGTTAGATGTGTGGCAATCACACTCATATTGTCATWACTTTATTATTGTAGATGACTATATTCCCAAATTTTCCCTTGAAAATATGRATGGAGAATTACCCTTTTTGTTGCATTTCAACAAACAACAAGTAACATCCTTAAAACCAGGTCAGTAAACACCTTTATGATTTAGTTTCCAAGAAATGATTATTGTTTGTCATTATTGCTATTGTCATTGAGCATAAACAATGAAATGGCACCCACAATATTATAGAAGGACTCTTATGGTGCACTCATTGTATAATTTCCTCTTACATTCCTGTCCTAATACACCAGTCACTTTATCTTAGTCCATAGTTAGTACTAACTATGGACTAACTACTAACTATGCTTAGTCATATCAGTAGCCTTATGGAGAACAGCAGCTCAATCCTGCTGAAGTCAAGAACTTAAATTTCTAGCTTAGAAATTCTCTTATATTCCCAAGCTGCACTGATGCCTGATTAATCACATCAACTTTCCTTACACCTTTGACTGTATATTTATAATATAAATAATATGATAATAATTATTATATGTATTGTTATTGTTATTGAGCTCAAGTAAGGTTTATTTTGCCAGTTCCTAACATATTGGACTACAGCAGTGGAGATGGATATGAACTCAGGTTTAGTAAGGAAAGACTGGTGGAAATCTTCTCTACGTATGTCATGTCCAGTTGTGATTATTATAGTTTTTTTAATAGGCCTTTTGTTTAGTTTGTATTCTAGTTCTTAGCTTTACGTCTTTTTGTGTGTTCATCTTRACAGGACACACCTTCCCATTACAAGACTGTCACTTCTCCACCTTGCATTTGCTCATATGAAAGATCCTTCATTGCTCAAAAAGGTAAGATTGGTACTACCAATATATATGAAAACTAATACGAAATATAACTCTGGAAATGATGAATTATTGTTATTTATAAATTGTGAATAATTCTTACAAAGTGAAATTCCTCAGATGATCCAACATCTTTGTTATGATCCATGCAGTCCTGAATGTTCCGATTTGTTGAAAGAATATCTTGTAGGTAAGTCCAATTGATAAAGGCATTGTTACATGGTGAAACTGTCTTACTTTGAAACTTGCCTTTTTCGTTATTTTATTTACTATCACAAATTATATCTATTTTACGACCAAAGGCTCAACCCATACTTTAATAAAGAGAGCGTTAGACCGAGAACGTGATAAAGATGTCTTGAGGCTGATCCCTTTCACTTGTGTTGACACTTTCAGAGGACATCTTGAGGAGGTAAGAACATAGCTAACAAAGTACTACTTTTTTAGTAAGAAGGATACTTTACATGGTCATCCAGTGTCCAGACGGAGGAATATAGTTTCTTAGTTTTCTAAAATGTATTTCTATTTCAGAGTTTGGATAAAAGACGTATTGCCCGGCTTACTTGTACGATATGCAGAGATACGCCAGCAGAGTTTAAGGTAATGACTGAAACTAGAGCGGATTTCGTATGAGTGGGAAACGGACGGTACTGTACTGTGTCCGTAATCGTACTGTAACCAAATTCTAGTGCCCCATTGTTTCACCAAAATTCTGCAGGCCAGGTGCGGTAACTGTGCGGTAACCGTGCGGTAACGGTGTCCCACTCATACGAAATCCGCTCTATACCATTTACTAACATATCAGAATTGAAATTCATGTTTACAATTCCATTGTCCTCTGATAGGGCTAACGCAGGTTATGGTTGTGTTTTCATACAGAATGACAAAAAGAAACCACTTGGTGTGTTCTGGTCAATGGTTAAAGAGAATAAACTATACTCTAAACGTCCTAATGAACGGTACATTAGTAGTAGTTACGGCAGTACGGTGTGTTTTTGGAAAAGATATAAACAGAGCGCACGTGCTGATTCTGACCAATCATGCACAGCGCGCGTAAGATTGAATGGCATCATTAGTGGGTGTGGTTCTCAACTAATCTAAAGGCGCGTAATATAACAAATATTAACTCATGTTTACTCTTTTATAGATTCTCATTTAAAAGTGTTCCGATGGTAAATGATAGTGGAAGTGATGACGAAGTTGAGCCGGTAAAACAAACGTTTTTTTTTTCATCAGTGTTCGATGTACAATTAATGAACAAAGTGAAACTGTTCCTACAGAAATTTTACGAGTTTTAATTGATTTTGCCAACAGGCTGTGCATCAGGCTGAAACCGAGCAAGTGTCAAAGAGAACTTCTGTAAAATCTCTTTTAAAGAGATTCTCAATGAAGTGAGTAGCGTATTGGTTAAGGTTTTTTCGGAAGAACGTTTGTGGCTGTCTGTTTAAGAACTAAATACTTTTCACTCACCAAGAAAAATTATCAATAAWWATGATAACGATGATAAGATCAGTGCAACCATCAGATATCTTGATGGTGATTTTGCCACAGGCATSGAACCCCAAGAATTGACAATACTCTCACGATGTTGAAATGATAATCAATAGTTATCTTTTTAATTTTTTTATTKTTTTCAGAAAGTATCCAAGTAGTGAGTCCCTAGCTTCACAAAGCAGCACAAGTACGGRMATTTCCCACTTAATATGACTTTGTTGTTCTTTGTTTAGTTTAAGACATGACATTTAACGTTTAGGTCTAAGGTTGATAGAATCRTCCCAATCTTTCCCCCCACCCCTCCCCCCTCCAAAAAAATACATGATGCGCGAATAAACATGAATAAGAAAACATTGGAAACTATCAGAAAAGTTAACATTTTATCTGATGGTTTGAGTGCGACTTTTTAACTGATGTAATGATATTTTTATGATATTATTTTATCCATGTGTTGTTCGTTTCAGAAAGTGGTGACTTTCTTGAGTCTTGTGAAGATGATCGCAAACCATCTGAACATAAAAAACAACAAATGGTACGTGAAAAAATACACTAAAACTATTGGTAAATACATCGCAATGTAGCGTGGATGACAATCCTCATAATTCAGTACAATGTCAGAGTGTGTTATCAAATGACGCGTGTCAGAACAACCTTTCCAGTAAATTTCTTTTTGCTGAGAGAACACTCAAAGGGCTTTTGCACTCTAGGTTCTGTAATATAGTATGGTACTTTAACCATTTTGTGMGCAACAGATGGATGGACGCGGTGCCTTATGCAGGTTGTCTTTATATTCGTCACGATCGCCCGAAAACGCGTTTTTCTGTCTGTTGTTAATTCCATGGCAAAACGTGTTTGGAAAAATTATACTATGGACAATAGGTCTGACGATTAAAATTCTCTATTTGATACTAATTTGCAGTGTTCACTTACACAGGTCAGGGATACGTTTGCATGTCACCTACAAATCCATCTTCCGTCCGAAGCGAAAGATAAAGTTCGCAATATTGCCGCGGAGTACATCAAGTATCAAAGTGCACAATCTGAGGCTCTTTTAAGACTCTTTTGGTCAGGATTAGGGTATACTACAGAATCAAACCCATGCATAGCACACTTGTAAGTTGSTTTGTGATGGTCACATTGAATAAAAGTTTTGAATACTGTTTCCTTAGCGTTTATTATTTGTTTAGGAATGTACAAGGAACTACACAAGAAATAGCTCTTTTACAAGTAGTAGAGAGATACTTTACCACTGTAACAGATTTAAAGTTTCCWATTCCCCCAGGTTAGTGGACAGTCTTGTGATTTATCGATACGTTGTTTCTGATAAAACCAATCGTAATGTAAAAGGAAGAGAAGTGAAGTTAATTGTCTTCATTTCCATCCTTTTTGAATCCCAGACCGTCATTTACTGAATTCTTACTTTTTTTTAAAAGTAAGTTTAAGATTTAAAAACGCTGTATAACACGCTCCTTCTTTCCTCGTTATCATCGCTATCAATTAAGACAAAGTGATGAAACTCTAGCGGTAAACTAGAGCTGCGTCGGTGTTTCTAAAGAAACAGTTAAATTTAACGCCCTAAAAAAAGTAGTCAAACAACGTATTGACGTTTCGGACGTTAATCCTTCGTCGGAGTAAAGTTGTTTAACCTATTTTTTACGACGTTAAATTTTTTTTACACAACTGTTCGATTCAGACAATTGAACTGCAGTGCTCTGAACCCATAAAAAGGCATGTATAGATACTTAGAGGACCCGGGGCAGTACAAAACTTTATCATGAGAACTAAAAGCCTATATTTTGACTTTTCCAGGTTTTCAGACGTTTTTCACCACCTTGGCTTTTCACTGTTTGGATCCCAGGTATTGTATGGCCTTCGTTACAGTGTGAATAGGCCTTATGCATGAAACGGTCACATTGTACTTAATCCGCCATACTGGATGGAAAAAGAACGTAAACAACCTCAAAAGGGACGCAACCCGTCAAATCTGACTTTTTTTGTTTTGAACATCCCAGTGTGTATTTGCCATCCAGTATGGCGGATTTAGTACCCTGTGACTGTGTCATACAAAAGGCCTATTGCTGAATTCACTGATGTCCAGTTCTTGTACAACAGGTTGTTCCTGCAGTATCTGGACAACCATGTTCTTCAGTTGACTGGGCAGTTTATTTCTCGACTTGTTCAAGGTATGTTACGTAGGAATGCAATCAACTAATCAAGTAATCATGCTCAGTCGGTCGGTTATTAATTTATTAATATTAATTTATTATTAATCAGTTTAATAAGCAATAATAATGAACCAATACATCAATCGATCATTTAATAAATGAGTGAATAAAATCATTGTAATTTCATAGATTGCAGAGGGGAATATGACAATGAAGAGTTTGTTTTTCAAATTCTGTCTCGTCTGAAACACGTAAGATTTGTTGAAATTATTAATGATGACAATGATGTTTCAATAAAACTATCAATGTTATGTGGCTATTACCATGTCAGTATCATTTTGCCATATGCCAATTCCAAAAAAKACTCAAGTCGTTTACTAAAACACATGAAAAAAGAAGAAAATCTTTAGGTATATTGTTTTCTTTCTTGTTTGTATCCAGGAAAAGGCAAAACACGCCATGCAGCGGTGGGGACATCCTCTCAGTAAAAGGTAATCTGCTCATTGAAATCGACTTTTGTTATTAAACTTTAATATACTAAATGTTACATTTCAGATATCGTGCTCAAAAACTCACTGATGAGTTGACGCAAGATGCCGGTAATCACAAGCTTATCTATCATTTTCATCTTCATTTCTTGTTTTTTTTACTCTATTTTCTTTTTTTTAAGTTCTCTTTTTTTTTCTTCCTTATTTTGATTGTATTTGCATTCTTTTTGCAGTTACTTTTTTCATAAATTTTCCTGTCATTTRTGTTTTTAGGGGATTCGTTTGATAATTTTTTTGAAGGATCTTCGCGACCGCCAGGTTCAGGTTGGTGATGAAGTTCATTGTCCATCAATCAACTATCAATCAACAATCAACTAAAACTATCTTCTTTGCTAGAATCTTCACTCGATAGTTGCGATGATAATAGTTTTCGTCCATTGGCTACGTTAATATCAACACTAAAAGAAAAAGGTCAGTATAAACTCTAACTTTTCGCTCGGTAGCCATCTTGGATTCTTGAACCTGAATCACGCGTGATTAAATCCAAGATGGCCGCCGATTCATGAGGAATGAGAACTCGATATTAGTTTTTTCATGCTTTCTATACTTAGTAAAATCGGCTCTTTTTATGAGATTAACACTTTTTCTAGTAATTATCTTTTGTATTTTAGCTGCAATGTTGACGGCTGAAAGGAGGATAACACAAGGCAACGTATTTGACATGAAGAATATCTGTGATGTAGCACTTTTAGAAACKAGGCGTGAGGTAGATGGTAAATTAGGATCTGTTACATTTTAATGACTCAACAACCATTGCCAAAATTACTTGATTGTRGGTAGGCTTAACCTATCATGACTAGTCTACTCTCAAGMAACTCTCCAAACTTGAAAGAAAAGGCACATATCATTTGACAAAAAACGTGGAAAGATGTAGAACGTTCCAACAATTTTTGCAATGATTATAGCTGCTGCCCTGTTTTGATGKCGGCAGCTTAGCAACATTACCAAATTATTGCAGTTTGGTTTGSTCGATACGTGATCTTGAACAAAAAYTAGCTTTATGGACCTAGAAAGTGCAACATTTGGAAAGTTGCAGTTGCTAATTAATTAAATCCAATTATAACAGAATTTGGCGAATTTATAAAATGAAAAATACGTTTATGATAAATGTAAGTAAATTACAATCTATGTTTTACAGTGAAAGGCGTTTTTAAATATATTAGTTATATTTTAGATAATGCTATTTGTAGTCATGTTCAYCTCAAACCAACAGTATTTTATCTATCCTATTTGGTTATAGATTATTTCCTTTTTGTTTGTTCGATTGTCTCATGATTGTCAGTATTTGATTGTTCTTTCATTCAGTTTCTTTTTTYGTTTCTTCCCTATTTTTTTCTTACTTTTTTTATTTCTTGTTGTATTTCTGTTTTCTTAACTGTTTTCCCTTTCATCCCATCTTTCTTTCTGATTTCTTTCTCTATCGCCCCTTGYTTGCTTCCTTCCTTCCCTTATTTTTTGTTTCCTCGTTTGTTTGTTGTTGTTTTTCTATCTGATTCCATGAGTCTCACACGTTTATTTAACTGATGGTGATCAGCAAAATGCATGYTGCTTTTTGTAATGTGTGAAACATTTTAGTTCAACACCTTGTCAAATATATGAATCTTTGCTATTTAAGCTCGTCTTTGTAGAAGTCTATTCGCTCACTGTCACCAAATCAGGTGCCAAAATCAWAGTACAAAAGCAAGATCACGTGACATGATCTGTATCGTTCTTTCGCCGTTATTTTTAGTCTTGTCATACTTTGTTCGTGTTTTCTCCCTATTCACCAGGTGTAACAAAGCAGTTTGTATMACCCACAAACCATTGTTTTGTGTTTTGCCATCGAAATTATTAATGCCGTAATTGCAATTGGTGGGGTTTCAGCCATATACAAGTCCTTAAATATCCCCTGGATACCTAACAACTATCTGATATTATGTTTGAAGTGTCTTTGTATCGCCTCAAACAACCGACAACAAAGTCCTAGCTGGAATTCGCTCGGCATGTTTGTCAAAGTTTGAAGAATCTGTGTTTAAAAATAATATTTTTGCRAATATTTCTACATTCTTTAGTGAAGATGTTTTTACTGGATCGTTCAAAGACATCGGTAAGTTTTTTTGAWTTTATTTCTCTGCAGATTGTTTTATAACAGTAATATCGTAATTATTGGACTCATAAACAACTGAAACTCTTATATATTTCGCTCATATTTGAAGTTGTCGTCCCCTAACTTAAATGACATGGATCGTGCGTCGTTTTCATTCACATTAAAGTTTCTTTAGATTTTTTGATTGTTTTTTTTTAGATTTGTAAAGTGAGGTGTAGCCAAAGATTGTAACATCACAAATTTAGAGCACAAAAAATTACATTGAAAGATTCTAATTTTCCATACCATAAGTTTTCATTTCTATAGAGGATGTTCCGAAAGTAGCATCTACGTTTAGAATGTTACTTCCTTTTTCGCTGACTGACATACTTTCAAGTTTTTTGTTCTTTAGAGGAATCCTCTAATTTATCCCAGCCTTCGAATCGACTGAGATAAATTGTCAAGTGCTCGTCTGAAAGTCGTTAGACGGAATTCACTAAACTTTATACAAATACTTCCCTGTCATTAAAGTATCTTAGCATCAAGACTCGGTTTGTTTATCACCGTGGAGACATCGCTACGACATCACAAATGGTGTTTGTGGTTTTCYTRTTTTACTTKAATAAAAATATTTCAACGCCCCGAGTGTTGTCAATAGCGGTTTGTGCATGTAACAATTCCTCATAGGTGCCTCGATGTAATATAAATATTATTTTTTCTCTTTATTATCTTTCTCACAGTGTATCTTGATTTTATCCTGACCGATAGGCCAATAAAAGAACCAAAGAGCAAATGAGGTTCAGTAAAGTACTTTGTTTTCAAGCTAACTACATTCAAAGTTAAAAACAAAACTAGTCTTGTATTGAATACAATTTCCTGTACTTTAATTATCTCAGTAAATGTTTTCCTCGATTCTTTTTGTATCTTTTGTAATGACAGAAAAGTTTGTTTCGGCTGTTATCGCACGATTACGCAAACTGATTAATTAATAGGAGAGACTTACTATAAGCACTACTTTTAGGAAAAAAATATTAATTGTTTTTCACTATAACGTCCGCCGTTGTTAGCTAAATTATCCATGTTGGAGTTAGAACATCATTTAGGAACCAGACATTCAGTTTGAAAAAGAGACACGAAAAACTTAGTTTAAGRACTCTTGAGGTGGACTCCTTATATTACGATAGCCTACATAGAACTAAACCCTTTTTTCAGTTGTCGTTCATTTACGACGGAATACTATATGATCAGAAATAACTTTATATACGTTAATCAAACTATTCCTTTAATATTACATGAAGCTARAAATAGTGAAAATATAATTCATTARAAATGCTGCTATAAATTCATTACTTCATTCAATAATTTTTTCCATTTTTACGTTTCCATTCAATTTTCCATTCATCTTTATTTCATTTATTCATTCCACTTATTTATTTCTCAGCTAGAAGACTTACGAAGAATCTCTCAAGCTTCTCGTGAAGCGAGCTTGGATAAAGARTTGTTGATATTTGAAGAAAGTCTTGAGATAATTCTTGCTGATAAAAGCACCTTTCTGCGTGACTTGTACCGGAGACTAAAGCAAGCAAGGAGTACATACAAATCATGGAATCGAAGGACAGCAGGAGGTAGTAGAGCCATTGACTTTGTATCAGTTCAGCAGGTTAGTTCCTGATAAATTAATATGGAGAGGGACTAAGGAGAGAAAACGGCATGTGTAGGTCACGGTCAGACATGATAACTGAACTTCAAACAAAATCAGTGAAATCGATGAAATGGATAACTTTATAAAGTGGATAGAACGGACTTGTTGCAACCGGACCAGTTGATGATAATGATGTATTATAGTTGWAACAAAAAGTTTTATGAAATCATTTCTTTCCTCGCGCAGCGTTATTTTGTTCATTTCATTGTATCAATGATCCTCCATTCAGCAGACGCTATTACTGGGTCAACCACATGCTATCTCACTAATAACGTCTGCAAGGCCTAATAGTAATCCATATTTCATTCTACAGATCGAAGATCTTGTCCAATGGGAACAAACAAGTTATGTTAAGCGAAAAGTCAAAAAAGATGTCGAGCCTCTACACAACCAACCCACCGATATGCTGATGCGTTTTTTACAAGCTTTTAAAGAATCCCAAGATCTACTCACAAACTTCAAAGCCAAGATATCTCAACCCCTTTTTGAATTCTTCAACGACGATCCGAAATCGCCGCTTGCGAAAGGTTTATCTAGCGTTCTGTGGCGATGGGAAAGTCTTCTTTGTCCAGGCCCCATTAACCATCGGTTGTTCAGCCCTAAGAGTGCAGACGCKTTATACAATATGGGCGTCAAATTGAGTACGAGTGATTCTAAGTTCAATCTTATCCTTAGATTGATCCCAGACCTTGCTCTGAAAGCGTTCGAGGCWTTGTGTATAGCAAAGCAGTGGCGCTCTAAGCTAGGGCCGTGGGGATACATTAGGGAACTCAGGTATATACAGAGCAAGTGGATTCCTGAAAAACGCGCGTCGTTTGATCTCGATGCAGCCATAGAGCACCGAAGGAAGTTTGAAATAGCTTCTTGTCGTGATCAGCTACAGAGCCTACAAACCAAGCTTCGAGACACCGAACACAAGCTGGTCGGCTCGTCTATCGAGATGAATGAGACTGCAAAAACAGCCGGCATGTTRAATAATATGTACCAAGACGCTMATCGGCGAATCAACAATATGAGAAGAGATTTCAAGACAGCTACTGCGCAACGCTGTAGACTCGCTACAGAACTCAGCAAACAAAAAGATTTCATCTCCATGCTACAAGAAGAAATGAATCGTGAACAGAAAGAAGTTCAAAACATWAGAGCGCAACTTATTCAAGCTGAAGTGAATGCTAARCACYTGGATCAACGAGAAATGACCAAACTACTCGAAGATGACCTCGAGGATTCCGTCCATCGRTGTACWCATCTCAGAAAAGAGATCACGAAGGCTGAAGATGAATACAACGATCGAATGGCCGTCTACCACTCGAATAATGAGCGATTGAACTCGGTTCGATCTCGTATCGATACTGCCAAGTCAGAGMGATTTTCATTAAACACACGATTGTTGAAATCRCGAGAACAGCATCAACGGCATGAAAAATCCTTCGTTAGTGAAGCTGATAATTTCCATTTAATAAGAGAAGAGCTAAGRAAAAAYAAACTCACTAAACAAGTGCTGTTGCGTCAAATGCTGCAACCGAGACAACCTGAACGACCGAATATCAAGCCATTGATATTTTAGTGATTTCTTTTTTGCGTSGATTGARCTATTCCATTTAATAAACATACTTTCTTTTTATGGCCTTAAAAATCTTCAGGGGCAATCTCAATTGTAGTCTTCAGGGGCAACCTCAATCGTCATCTTCAGGRGCAACCTCAATCCTTCAGTTGTAGACCGAAAGGAGTAAGGAAAGACATCTGAACGATGCAAATAACGGTTGTAAGAGGAGTTTATATCCCAAAAATAGAATCACACGACACTGGAATAACGATGTATAATAATTTATTTGAACAATTACCATATTTATAACAGTAGGAACAGCCAGGACAATAATGACCTGTATTTACGAGGATGCTCTGTGAAGACTGGTTAATTGACACAGAGGCGTAACGGCATATCGACCCATATAACCACGTGAGGAAACGATCAAACATATCGTGATGACTTCAAAATGCGTTAATAAATATATGGTTGATACAGGGAGGATTGGTCATCATCGAGGGGGTCATTTCTAAAGAATTCTCACTATGGTGCCACATAACTATATAGAATTATAATGTTTTAAACTCATTAGGATCACGAAGAAACTGCTTTCCCGTTGATGTTGCWGCGTCGCTAGAGACCMGCTCAAAGGGGCTGAAACAAGAAAGAACAGTAAACTCAGACTGCAATGGAACTTGGGAAATATCGTTTTCTATTCCCATGCGTTTTTGTGCCGTTTTTGCATTTTATTCCATAGTATCAAATACGGTACGAAAACGTTTTTTTGTGTTCTATGGTATAGTACAAAAAATCCCATTCTTTGTTCGAGTCTTGTTAGTAAGTTCCAGGCAAAAGTGTTTGGTGTAGGACTATAGTGTGGAGTTGTTATAATTGATGTTTATAAATATAAAGTAGTTCTGTATTCAGAACCTTCTTTGCATATATTAAACAGGCTACAGTWGCTTAGCTCGATCTAATGTCTTTTTGGTGTCAGAGATGTTTTTAGAAACCTCTGACTTCCTGGTATTATATTATAGATGGTGATAACTGACTAAAATGTTGAGTGAATAGACCTTTGATGTTGTTTTCGAGATCAATTGACTGTTGTGACGCGATCTTTCATGTTACCTAAACTGTGCACTAAATCTAATGAGAGCAATCTTAGTCTTATGGGTGAAGTCTTAAACACGTGAAATAGAATGATTARATATCCTAATATTTCATTTTCCATCTACATGGTTCGCATATAAAGTAGAACCTTGAAATTAACATTCATTTCACGGGTTTTGTACCTCTCTTCGTAGACTATGGTAGATGCTAAAACTTAGAAATATAGATATTAAAAAAACACACTTCTATCCATTTAGTTTTCCATGTAGTTCTGCCTTGGCCGAATAAACTTCAAATCCGCCATTTGAGTGAAGAACTTCAYTCGACTCCCAACATAGTATAAGCGATACTCGTGATGTTATATGAGTGGACTGTCATACATTTTCTTGTTATAGTTTTGCACTGTATTATTGTTGGCTATTGTTCGTTCACTGATCGGTTATCTGAATAAAATACAAATATGTTTTAATAACTTTGATTGAACTAGATATGGGTTTGTGCATGAAATGGATAGCTGTTAGCAGGTAAGTTGGTGGGTATGTTAGTTACTAGTTCATCGACTCATTGTGCATGTGATAACTTGGTTGGTTTTCTGTGGTTTGTTTGTGAGGCAATTTGGATGGGTTCATGTTGGTGGCTAGCAGTGCCGGGATTTGATAATTGGTTATCTTGATAGGTTTATTAGTGCAATAAATAGAATTGTTTTCTAATTAGTTGAATGGTCAAATGATTACTTAATTATTATTGCTTGATTGATAGGTTCTTGTGGTTATGTCATTGCGCGGTACGCGATGGTCAAATACACTATCTTACCATGATAGACTGCGCATGTTTTRACTACACACGAACACCACGGCGCATTCTTGACTCGTACTTTGTTGTATTGTGGGTAGCTGTTACTATGGCAATAAGCGGGACTGTTGACAGCAGGACACAMTGATCGACACACAGCTTGTCCATTCTTRCTGCATAAACATCTCTTGGTACAATTGTTATCGATGTATTCAATATCTTGACTGAACACGTGACCATCGACATTACATTCTTTTTGTTGCGTATCTTAAAAGTAAAACAAAGCATTGTGGGATATGTTGTCAAGGTTACTAGCCGGATGTTGTTGTCAAGGTTACTAGCCGGATGTTGTTGCCAAGGTTACTAGCCTGATGTTTTTGTAAAAAAAAACAAAAAAAATCTTACTATCTTATTCTATTCGATGTTGAATATCAACTAGGAATATGAATATATTCGGTATAACATTCATTTCGTCCAGGTTTGTTGTATATAAATGGAAGAGTTTGTCTTACCTAAGGTTTTTTTAGGTCTACAAGTCACGCTTGTACACGAACACTGACTTCCACGCACAGGTCTTTTGACCAATAATCGATCTTCATCTGATGAACACATGACAGGAAGACTATTACACAATGGCACGCATACTAAATGCCCGAATGTTGTACAGCGACATCGATCAGTGCAGTCTTCAATGATGGACACCTGGCCTGGGGATAACGTCTTATTTCCAATGCGACATTGTCGATTTTTTTTTATCTTTGGTAATCTCGATTTATTTCGTGCAGCTACAAGAAAAGAAGTAAAGATTGCATGATTGATAGATAGATTGATGGATGGATGGATTGATTGATAGATTGAATGATTGATTGATTCATTGATTGATTGATCGATTGATCGATCGATCGATCGATCGATCGGTTGATTGATTGATTGATTGATTGATTGATTGATTGATTGATTTACCTGTCAGCGGTGCGCAAACATATTTTATGCATTGACATCTTCCTTTTGTAATGTCTAATGGTGGTACATGTATCTTCATGACTTTTTCGTTTGCATTACATTTTGGAGCTATGAGGGCTGGACACAGCGGTCCGCACTTAATTAAACCAGTTCGTTTACAACGACATTTTGATTGACAGTTCTTGGTTTCGAAGTAACGCTTTGTTGTGTATATTCGACCGTTGTATTTACAAGCTCGTCGTCTTTCTGTGGAAAGTTACAATGAGTGTAAGTCTTTACTTTCATCGCATGGTTTTGGATAAATGACAATGTTCTTACTTGGAATGCATCTTTGCTTTGGGCATGCGCAGCCATCAGCTATTTGCTTGATTTTCTTTTTACTGTTTTTTCGCTTAAACCCAGGCGGGCATTGTATCTTGGGACATACAGGACTACACTTAAACCTTCCCTCGGTGGTACAAGTACATATGTCTGAACAGTTCCCTCGCTTGAAAGATTCTCCAATTTTATATTTTTCAAACGTTTTTGTATAGCAGTACTCTGGAAATTTTTAAATACATGGATTTTAGTACACGTTTTRAKTTWTATACATATTTGCAGTGCTAAAAAAGTTTGTTAGGAATTCATCCTTCGTCAGTTTTTGATAGCGTTTGTGTTTCCTGGTTCKACCCCAATCCCAATCCGAAGTCACCATGGACATGAGATAGGAGAAACAATGTTYATCAGTACATAATATACTCGTGGGGTAAGTTTATCYGCAATTCGRGATCTCCACTGACCACTGACGTTTAACACTCGTTAAAGTAACTAACCTGGCGCACAGTAGCTTCTAAGACAGGAACATTTACTTCCTCTTGGACCAGCGGGCTCTTTGTCATGGCGTATTGCCATACCTACAGGACATTTGCCTTGAGGTAGTGGACTACATAAGTCCATACAGCTTGTAGCACCATTACTCATACAATAGCATTGCATTTTACAATCTGATGTGACAAAACTCGAGTTGGCAGGATACCATTTGCCTTGGACGAAACACCGCTGACCTAGACAAACATGATTCATTAATAACGCGGTATTCGGTTTTGCTGACATTCTATGTTTCCCGGGAAATCACAAAATCGTATCTCTGTCGACATGACCAGTTTAAAAGAAATGTCAGGTTCCTACTATAACAATCTCTCCATAAGCTTTGCTTAAAACGTACCACTTTTTAACGTACCACTTTTTAACGTACCACTTTTTAAAGTACCACTTTTTAACGTACCACTTTTTAACGTACCACTTTTTAACGTACCACTTTTTAACGTACCACTTTTTAACGTACCACTTTTTAACGTACCACTTTTTAACGTACCACTTTTTAACGTACCACTTTTTAACGTACCACTTTTTAACGTACCACTTTTTAACGTACCACTTTTTAACGTACCACTTTTTAACGTACC